ATAGATAGAAACGAGTGGTGGATAAGTGGGTAGTACATATGGGTCCTCAAAATGTATGGATAAAAAGTGGCCTTAGCATTCATATTGGCAGTGACATGGAAAAAGAATCCAATAGAAGCGAAATGTTAAGTTTGTGCCTCCAATTCTTAAATGTTCCACTTAACAGCAGATCATATAAAGGTTGATTTGTGCATGAAAACCTAGCTATAGTGTCACAAGTTCAAATAAATAAATCAATGTCTTTAACTTGTCCTAGAAGTATGTTAAACTACCTCATCTAAGAGTTTAAGCCATTAGAGAGGGGACACTTTTTAATTTAAGCAAGTCTTCCACGCGTTTCTCACATTCACACTGAATTCATTTTTCATATTCTGAAACATGCATAATTTTCATAAATGGGTGGACTTGAACTCATGATGTTTGTTTTCTTTGATATTATGTTGAACCACCTCATCCAAGAACTTAAGCTATTAAAGAGAGACACACATTCATTTGACTTGAGCCTCTGACAAAATCTAATTGAATGCATATGAATGACAATCTTTCATTTCTGCGTTAATAATTCAACTAAGAAACAACTCTGAGTATACTATGGTAGAGATATTGCAAGATTCATATACTTGATACAAATATTGCAGCTTGCCACCAGTAGCAATTCACAAAGGAGGCATAGCCATTGAAAAAGAAGGGTAAGGGATTGATGGCCTAGTCTAAATCAAAAGTTTGAATTAATACAAGAATAATGACAAATAACAAGAACATATTATTGCTACATTACATTCATGGATCGAAAATGTCAGTTATATAAATTCTAAAGTTATTTGACAAGAAGTTGAGCTTTCAAATGTTACCTTGTAGTAACCCTTCATCACTTGTGGACCCCTAGCTTTTACAATGCCCTTTGAACCATAAGGAAGATCTTTGTTTGTTTCTGCATCTACAACTTTTATTTCTGTATGTTTGAGAGGATGCCCAATTGAGCCAAGAACCTTCAAACGATAAGTTATGACACCGTCAAGTAACATACTATACTAGAACGAAGATACTGTAGAAATGTATTCTGAATATTAAAGAGTTGAAACTGACAAGAATTTAGACTGTTCAAAAGAAGGAATTGATCAGCTAAGACCGATCTCTATGTTTTAGAAATCCATACAAGCATGGTTGTTTGTCTTCTTTTGAAGAGGAAGAAGATTTAAAAGGAGTTACACAAAGACAATTATAGATAGTGGCTACATCAAGTTATAAACTTATACTCCATGGTGGGTAATCTGCCAGGGAGCCTTTTCTCCTGAATATATTCCATTAATTTCTTATCATAAGTTGATTGACATGAAATGACCCTGGGGAAATGAAGTGAATGAAGAGGCAGATAGCTAAGGAATTTGAAATCAAACACCTAGCGAAGCTCATGGACTTAGCTTGGGATGAAGTTGCACACTCTAGTCCAGGAATAGTAGACCCACAACAGAAATGTATTCTGAATCTTCTAAAGGAGACAGGAAATGGTTGAAAACTGGCAGAGACTACAATAGAACCATCGAAAACTGGCAGAGACTACAATAGAACCATCTTACAAGCTGAAGAAAGGAAAAACACTTGGTTGACAAAGAGGAGGATATAGTGTAATCCTGGAAGCCTACATGAATGTCGTTTGGGCCAAGTCATTAATAGAACAAAGGTCAACATCAAGGTACTACACTCTCGAGAAGCAATCAGTATCGGTGATGACAAAGTCCAGCATTGAAATGAAATTCAGGTTTATTAGATTGAATGATGTTACAACTATGTTTGGATTTTACACCAAATCTCTTTTAGATACGGTGTATCATCGTGTACTTGACCCAAGAGATAATGAGCATCACACATGGAATACGTGAGTTGCTTTGGACAAGTAACCTTGGAATCAACTTCATTGTGACAAGAAGTTAGTAAACAATTTTCACACAATCTCATCCACTTAGAAGTGAACCAACAGTTTATAAAAGAATTAACTTGAGAACAGACTGATATGTACTCCTTGCATACCTACCAAGGGTCAACTAGCTGATATTATATAAAAGGGGTTTTCTACTGGGCCATTCCAAACTATCCTAAGCAAGCCAGGGATGAGAAATATCTTCTCCTCGGCATGGGCATGATAGTTGAAAAATCTGCCAGCTTGGGTGGTGGATTTCTAAAGATTTTTCCAGCTCTCCAGTTTTATCTATAGCGAAAGCAGTATATAGAATTTCCTAAGATTCTTTCCTTTGTTACAATATTGTTCACTTTTTTCTATTTCTAATTGAAGAATACGAGGCATTACTTATTCTGCATAAATTTGAATTATGCAATTGATAGTTCAGAAATTACTCTCACAAACGGTTCTAGATCTGAACATAAACAAACAAATATCTACTTTGAAGTTTCAACGGCATAAACAGTCAAAAAGATTGTATCCCAAAAAACAAAGTTGATTTGGCTTGCACAAAGTTGCTTGTAACTTTCCTAGAAACAAATTATTAGACTGGCTTAGTTCTTGATAGCAGTTCTATTCATTCAAATATTCACACTGATTTTTCTAGGAAATTTTGAGAAAAATTTATAGACACCTAAAATAAAAATAGTTCAAACCAAATACGCATTGGCCTTGTATATACTTCAAATCGCCTATTGAGATGTGAACTTGCAGCATTAACAATGTCAATTTTGCTATGCCGATCACGAGGCATTGTATCGATGAGAATATTTTCGCTAGATCAGCTGATATTTCAGTCAGAGACACAACTCTACATGATTCTAGTAAGATGGTAACAAGTTCCCACCCAAGGATTTTCTTCATTGCCCATGGATGTCTAAACTATGTCAACGAGACCGTTGAAGTATTTCAAATAAGGTCTCAAATATCAGATAGTCCTTTTATAGTCTTCTTCGAATAGAAAATTCATTGCCTTAATGGAACAAATACTAGAAATTCATTGATTCTGAACTCATTTTTGGAAGGAAAAAAAATGCAGCGGTTCATTGATTTTAAATGCATCAAATATGATTATTACATTACAATTTGGTTGTCGAGCAGCAACAACGGGTGATGATTCTGTTAGACCATATCCATTCTGAACTTTTATTTCAATAGCCTGCAGTATCAGATCAACAGTAAGAGGAAGAATCATACCCTTTTCCTGCCATAGCTAACAAAGAATGAAGCAGCTCTTACCTCAAAGAACTTGTCCACATGGAATGGCAAGCTACTACCTCCACTTATGCCAGCCTGCAAAATTATCAAAGGAACTTTTACATTAGTCATTTGTACCTAATAATGGTAAGAACTTTCAAAATAAATTGGAAAACGGCACTTGCATAGACGTATGATAAAAAAATGCCGAACCTTTGAAATACCAATAGCAGAATGAATTTTACTGTAGACAATTTTCTTTGCCAACATATGCAATGGGAACAATATTGCAGCAGCAATCCTTGCCCACAACCAGTCGAGAGAAACAAGGAAGAAAGGTTGTTCTGGATTTTTTGTAAGACATTTCCCCTAGGAAAAGAACAAGCTTATTAATTAAGTGTAAAACATAAAAATGAAAATGCGTTTTAGAAAACCAGTTAATTAAAATTAATCATGAGATCTTGATTATCTCAAAGAGTGCAAGGTGTTGAAATGGTATTGTATGGAGATATCTTGGGAGATGACTCAAATCCAACTTACATTTTTAATCTTAATTAGCTATTTTTACATTTTGAGTGCCCCATGTGACATGCCGCAAAGTTGGTTCCTTCTCTTCTTTTCCCCTTTTCACAGTTCTAATGTAGGTCACGACTAAACGTTCCAAACCCCTTGGGTCCACTCGACCACTATAGCCACTCCCTTTGTCTCTCTCCTTGTCTTCCTCGTTCTCACATTAACTCCATGATAGTACCATTGAAGTTACAAATTCTATTGGCTTCCAACAATTCGCTGGTGTCCACCAGTATATTTTACTTTGATTGCTTGCTGTGCAATTTAGATTTTAACTGCATGGATTAGTGTCTTGTATAGCAACTTAAATGGTGCTACCCCGAGTGATTTCCTTGAATGACTAATTACTCTCAGCTATTTTCAGATTAACAACCATGCCTTCCCAAAGAACATTTGCAAAAACTCGGCAAGTCACCTTTGAGTAGTTCACATATATTGAGACCACTTCGCTCATTTGGAGGAAATTAAATGTTTTCTCTAAAACATAGAGGTTGTTTTACACTTTGTATTTTTTTAAAAAAAAAAATGCAGGGTAAAGTAAAATTTTAATATAAAACACATAGGTTGGTGCTTTGTTTTTACACTATTCACCCTCACGTAAACTCCTCAAAAACTTATCCCATATGTATTATGGAAATAGGTGCACGCATCTTGTTTTTCTCATTCCACTGTATTTAGGATGACCCGTGTTGTAATGTCTTAATGACCTCACCCTGAGTTTATTGGTCAATCTCTCTTGAGTTTACCCATTACACTAGTCCCTTCACTTTTTAAACCAGTGAATCTAGTGGCTTTCATTGAATGATTTTAAAGGAATGAAGGGATCATGGATTTGTACATATTGCTCTAATAGAGAGATCGTGCACTAGCTTTCACAGTTATTCCGAGTCAATAAGGTGAAGTCTGTTCTAGTATTAAGCCATTAACGCTAAACAAGTGGTCTAATGAACAAATCTAACATATAAAAAAGGAGAAATTTTTTTTAAAGTTGCAAGTGAATGTGTGAATACTAAAAAATGTGGTGCAGCACTGAAGTTAGGAAGACCAATGCGTAAAATAGACAGCCACAAGAATCTCTCAGCAATGTCACCTGATTAGAAGGCGTTAGGCACCATTCATTTTAGAATAGTTCGTTAATCCCCTCTTTTTCAGAAAAGCAAAATTTAATCATACTTCAAAAGCTCAGATAATCGCCTTAAATGAGGGGTTTATCAGCAGGGTTTTCATATACTACCGTCAAATATACTCAATAAAAGACTCGATGCCCCTCTTTGTGAGAGGTTCTCTCATTAAATAGGACTAAAATAACAACTAAGTATGGAAGTAATCAATTACAATATTAATTAATGGTAAAAACAATCTATCTATATCTAATACAATTATAATAATATAATCGTAGTCTTTGACGATCTCCG